ATATTTTAGTTTTTAATATTAAAATGCACAATATTGCCATCAACATGATACTGAATAAGACGGGTTTCATAGATGTTATTTCCTTTTTGGGGATGTTGATTAGTGTGTTTAAATATTCACAATTGCCTTAAAAAAGTTTTTTTTTAAAAAAAAATATATATTTGCAATTGCCTTGACGACCTAAGCTTAGGGGTGTATAAAACCGAATCAAACCACAAATCGAGAAAAAAATTCCGACTAGTGGTTGGTTTGACTTGGTTTGGTATTGAAAAAAACCCCGACTATATTTGGGTTGGTTTGGTTTTAACAAAAACCAACCCGAGACCAAACCAATCCGACATTATATATATAATTTTAAATTTTTATTTTATACATAAAAATATTTACTTTGATATAATTTTTAAATATTTCTTATACTTTTTCATAGTTTTTATCTTTTAATATATTATTTCAAGTTTGAAACTTAGAATTCTAAATGATTAAATAAAGATTATAGTCCACAGATGTTGATAATTATAATAAAGCTTAAATCAAAATCAAATTAATACTAATGCAAAAAGAAAATCAACTCAACACTAAGAATGACAATAATATTGAACATTTAGTCTTTGGTTTTACATTGGTTTAGACAATTCAAATACATAATCTAATTTTAACTTCTTTTAATATTTAGTCATGTAACTAATACTTATTAAACTTATTTTAGCATGATTTAGTACTTTTAAATTATGATCATTTTCATTATGAGTTGTTAATTTGCAATATTTGTTTTACGTGATTTCATTATTATTATTATTTTATTTTTTTTTGGATATTTTAGTGTCATTACTCATATCATATTTTGTATTATTTTCTTAAGAAACACCTTAGATAGTTGTATTTTGGTAGGACTAAAGAAATATTTGGAGTACAAGTAAATTATATGTTTGTATGAATACTTTACCGGAAAATTCCGAAAAAACCCGAAATCCAAAAAACCCGAAAAAAACCTGAGGTTGATAAACCTGAGTTTAATTGGTTTGGTTTATAGATTTAAAAATCCGACACAAATAGTTTGGTTTGATATTAGAAAAATCCGAACCAACCCGGCCATGTACACCCCTAAACAAAATCATCATTTTAAAAAAAAAATGAATTCAAGTTTTGCCTTAACAAAGCAATTAAGTAAAATTAAGCTAGATTCCTGATTTAAGAGATGCTTATTAATACCTCACATTAACCAAATTAATCTCTTAACACGAGATTAAGTTAGTACGGGTTCAGGAAAGGTTTTCAGTTAGGGATAACAATGGGGCGGGCAGGGGTGGGTGGGTTGAGCTTAGTCCTTAAAATTTTTAATCCGTCCAGCATAACAACTTTCTTTATTTTCAATCTGCTCCACTCCGCCCCGCCCTCATAGACCTGCCACGCATAATTTTTATAATATATTTTTTTCTAGTTAAGTTTGATAGTAAAAGTAAAATTCATAAAAATAAATTCATTTTTTCATTAAGTTGTATTAATTTAACAGATAACGACTTAGAATTTTATTTTTAGAGAGCAATTGGGAAACATGTAAGAAATTGTATTATTTTTTATTGAACTATTTAAATTTACTATCTTAAATATTTTAGTAGTTTTAAAGAAATTATCTTTCATAAATTATGCTCTATGATTGTTATAACATGTAAAAAGTTAAAATTAAGTTTGAATCCACATAAAATTACATATACCCGCAACCCACCCATCCGCCCACATTGGTTTTAGAAAAATCCACTTCGCCCGCCCCGCAACCCTCTCACTCCGCTCCGCATAGCCTTAAACCCACCCCACCCCATTAACGTCCCTATTTTCAACTAATAATTTCATGATTTCGAAATACAAATATTAATAAATAGTTGACTGCATTTAAAAAATGTGAAATTCGTGATTAAGATATATCCTTAGTGAAATTTCTTTCTTACTTCGATACCCTTGTTATATAAAACAAATCTTATTTCAACATCTATAATGTTAAACTTCAGTATATATGCAATATTGGTCTAGTCCTTTTTTTTTCTTCAAACACTAAAATGTTTAGAACTTTCTGCTAACTTTATTTTTAACCAATATTTATGTCCACATACAACTACTGAATTTCGAGTTTTTTTTTTTTTTTTTTTTGAATTCAATCAAATAATGGTTCAAACAACAACGAATTTTCAAAGCAAAGAAAAGTCACAAGATACTTGCACTTAAAAAATACGCGTTAGATAAGAAATTAGAATAGTTGAAAAATAATTATTTTGTAATATATTCTTATAATTATGAACACTGGAAAATGACAATTTATGATTTATTATTTTTCTCTCAAAACTTGACGTGCCTCCAAAGGATTTTTTGGACTATGCATTGCCCAACATATACGTGTGAATATCACCTTAGGATATATCCTATTCCGTGTCAAAATTAAACTCTATGGTCCAAAATCAAATACCCCAAAACTAATTACTAAGATACATTCTAATTTGCACGATTACATATCTTAAAAGATTGTGATGTGTTCAGGTACATCCAAATACATGTACCTCAGAATACATGAGTCAAATTTGCTCTAGATATATTGTATCCAAGTGGATTCACATGTATCTGGGATACATAACCAATCTCGATCATTATTCTTCTATGTACCTAGTATCTCAGCCGCTAGATACATATATATACATTTATCTAGTGTGTATCTAGTGTAATTTACATGTATCTAGAATATATAACAAAACCTCACTCGGCTCCCACCATAGGTCGCTTGTTTCTCTCCTTATTTTAGTGTATATAGTAGCAAAAATGCATGTATCTAAGTGCATATTTCTCAATATATGGTAGGAGATTTTTAATTAGTGGTAAGATACGTAATATTTTGAAAGTATAGGTATAATAGTATATATATTAGTGAAGTATGTCTAATTATTTAATTTCTCCTAAAAATAATATATATTGTAGTAAAATATGTTTAATTATGTAGTTTCTCCTAAAGAGTCTCCGTTCCAAAATAAATATGTGGTTTTACTGCATTTTATGTCTATTATGAAAAAATAATAAATGCAATGTATATCTCATACTTTTCTTTTATAATCACTTCTAAAAAGAATGACACATAAATTTATTATTGACAAATATGTAATGATACTATCAATATTTTAGTCACTGTGGATCCTATATATTTGACAAAAAGTTTGTTAAGGTGTACTCTTTTATTTTAAAATTTTATTTATTAATATGTGTAGTTTGAAATATTGCACGGTCTTTTCATATTTCTTAAATTTCGTATCTAGTCAAACTATATTATTGAGACAGAAAAATATTAAGTTATCTCTGCAATTTATTGGATATTTTTTTAGAATTGTATAATATTAGAAAAAAAGAGTTAAACTTTATTATTTATATAAGAATATACTTGAAAATAGTTACTATTCTGATTTCGCTACTATATATTTTTTTCATACTCATAACTCAGCATTTACGTACCGTCTCATCTTCTTGGTGAATACTTACCGTATTGATTTTTTGATCAAACTGATATAATTTACCTAGTTAAATAATTTTGAAATACAAAACTATGATAAAGTAGAGTTATGTATATTTAATTACATATTATTATGTATCAATTTATTCGATTTGAACATTTGATGTGAGTAAGTTTTTACTTACTTTCTCCGTTCCTATTTACTTGTTCAATTTTGACTGAGCATGCACATCTATTAAGAAAATAATAATTGACATAGTGAGTTTACCATTTTACTCCTATTAATTGATAGAATTCCAAAATCAATTACTCATTAAAAATGTTCTACCTTTTTCAAAAACATAACTCTCTAAATGAATTTAGGGTATAACTAGTAAAAAATATTATTTTTTCTTGATTTATCAAAAATGACAAGTAAAAAGGGATAAGTAAAAAGTCAAAATTGGACAAATAAAAAAGGACAGAAGGGAGTATATAATCTATATATTTGAAGAATCTTGTAGTTTTCAAGGAATTAATTTGGTGCCCTGCAATGCATAATATGTATTTAATTAAGGCATTAATATAGACTCTGAACCGAGTGAAAAAAAAAAAAGAGAAGTCGATTTTGAATAGTTTGAAGTTGAGATTTGATTTTCAAAAATTATTGTTAAATGTATTTTGCCTTTTGTGGTCAAAACATAATTGTTCAAAAAGCTTTTCTATCGTGTCAAGCATCAGTCTAGATTTAAGATAAGGAACTTTAATTTAGCTTAAATAAATATATTTAACGAGTCATTGTGCTAAATCTGATTCAAGTCAAACCACTTATTCAAAATTGACAATAAAACAAAACAAAAGATGACAAACAAGACCTGTTTATTTTAAGAAAAATCTTTTACAATTAACCATAATATATTGGAATAATAGTGTTTTTCGTCCCCTCAATTATTGTTAAATTCTAACTTTCATCTTTATGTTACATGAGTAACATGACTAAACATTAACCTTTAATGAATTATAATATGTGATTTTGATCTCTTTTATTGAAAGTTATAAATGCTTAGCGAAATATTATAAAGACTAAAATAGAATTTATTGGTATTTAAGGAACTAAAAGTCTATTTGGATTGGTTTATTATAAGTATTTTCAAGTCAAAATAATTTTTAAACATTTTTGAAACGGTGGATAAATAAATAAAAAGTTTGATTTTAAGCTAAAATGATAAAAATAAATCAAAAATCATAAATTAGAATTTCTAATTATAAGTCAAAAATTAAAAGTCAATCCAAACTGACAATAAAAGCGAAAATTTCCCAAATATATTTCTTGGTATCCTCACATATTATCTCCTCCAAGAAATTATGAAAATTTCCATAACTAAAAGTCAAAGTGAAACAAAAATTGGCCACCACCAAGAAGCATCACTCTCCCAATACCATGGAAAAGTCAATTCTAAAGAACTTTCTCATACACTTTCATCTATTACATCGTATTCCTCCACCTTTTTCAACTTAAACACTATATATAAACCAACAAATTTTCACCATAAAAAATATCATCAACATTTCTAATTTTGTTTAATTTCAATCATCTCAATCTCAATATGAGTCGTAGTGCAGCAGTGAAAATGTCCGGCTTGCTTATGAGGCAACTACGGGGCGAGTTTTCACCCCGTGGAGGCATAGTACAAATTCGTCATTGGAGTAATATGAGTACTTCTAGTAAAACAAAAGAAGAACAAAAAACACATCAACCACCACACACGGTGGCTGATGCAACCAACGACGACGGCGACGGCGACAAGGCTAAGAAAATTGTTAGCTATTGGGGGGTGGATCCTCCCAAAATCTCCAAGGAAGATGGTACACCATGGAAGTGGAATAGCTTTAGGGTACGTAAGCAAATAACATACTCCTTTTATCTCACTTTATATGATTCACTTTCCTTTTTAGTCAGAAAGAATGACATATTTTTATATTTTTTCTGTCTAACAATACTTGTCCACTATAAAGTAAGACAGAGGGAGTATGAATTTAAATTATGGCTTACTTATAAGGATATAAACTAATTCTCCTTTAAATAACTTGATCGCGTAAAAATATTTTATATCGACTATATATATATAATATATATCTTAAACTCATAATTTTTATTTTATTTTTTTGGTTTTGACAGCCATGGGAGACGTACTCAGCTGATATTTCGATTGATGTGAAGAAGCACCATTTGCCTACCAATTTTATGGACAAGTTTGCTTTTTGGACAGTCCAATCTTTAAAGTACCCCACCTACTTGTTTTTCCAGGTCAACATCTTGACTCTCTTATAATTAAAAAAATAATTTTAGTTAAATAATGTACTACTATGATTGCAAAAAAGTTTTTTAATATTAAACTAAACTAAAGTAATCAATCCAATAATTAATTAAACTGAAAAAGAAGACAACGTGAGCTTGTCGCATTAGTGGGACTGTGGGAGATTATGACAAAATGGTATCGGCCAATAGGTTTAAAATAATTTCTTAAAAATATTCTGAAATAATTTTAAATTAATAAAAAAGAGAGCATATTTGGAGTTTATTAAAAAAAAATCAACAAACTATCTCATTTATGTTTGAAGAATTGTGTGTGTGTGGGGGGGGGGGGGGAGGGGGTTTAT